GACAACACAGCATCCAAACACCACTTCTCGCCTGAAAACCACCGCTTCACGGGAGACTTTTGTCTTCCCACTGCAGAGCTCGGCACAGGCTCGGGGACCTCGAGAAGCGCGGCGCTGCGCCGGCACAGCGAACGCCCCGCTGCGGAGCGCGAGCCGCGGGACGGCGCTGTCCGCCGCCAGGCAGCGCCGAGCCAGGCGCACCGCGTGGAGCTGTCCGCGGTGCTGAAAGGGCGGCGGGTGAACCTCCTCCCCGAGAGGCCGCGAAGGTGCCGCCGCTCCCCTAGGGCTCATCAAGCGCGCTCCGAGCGGGATAAAAGATTTATCTGCATAGAACACTGACGTGTTCCGCACACATGCACAACTCCTAGCCCTCGGGAAGAATTCCGGTAAGTCTTTTTAAATCTCCCTTCCAGTCCCCTTGCAACGGGGCTGAGGCAGGTGGATTCAAGGGTTTGGTTTAGCTGACTGCGTGACCTGTTTCCAAAGCATAACGCATGTGGGATGTTAGTGGAAAGACTGCAGTCACCTGCTGTGCTGCGAGGCACTCCCACTGACTTGCTGGCAGCATGACTGTTCGGACTTCCTTCTCCACTAAGGTCACAGACTACTAAAAAGAATCGAGAAGCTGATTGCCACGAATGGACATTTCTGGTCATTGAATATTAAATCAGCTAGCAGTAATAATTACTATCGTCATCCTCTTACTCATATTTTGTTTTATTCTTCATAGGAAAAACTACTTTTAGCTAGGGCGATTTGTTTACACTCAAATTTTAAAAACATACCACACGTAACAGTGCAGAATCAATATTCTTCTCTTCTACAAAACTCTTCTCTCTGCTCAGTCCAGCTAGTTTATACAATGCTCCCCTGTAAAGTCTTTCAGAGAAGAATTAAACCAGAAGGCTTAAACCTGCACACAACTGACGAATAGCTGGTGCCTCTAGGACACAGACAGCCATCTGTGAGCAGGATTCTACAGAAAATAATTCATGAATTTGCTTGAATTAAAAATTAGTTCACCTTCAAAATACAGACAGCTTTAAAGATTATTTTAAAACAACCAATTATCATCATTACAAAATATTTTATTTCATCTGGACTAGGCTCCATATCCACTTAAGCCTAAGTATTTTAAAGGAACTTCCTGTTTTCAGATGCCATGTGTAACACAAGTTTGTCAGCATAGAGGGATGTAAGTTTTGCTCAGCATCTTCTTCACCTTGTTTTTAAAAAGTCAAGACTGAAAACAAACGCATACTGCTCTGAAAGTAAAAAGCTGTCAGATACTGGACAGCTCAGGGACATTATGCCCTTCCCTTCTAACAGGCTCCTTGAACACAGAACTTTTATTTTCAAGATGAATGACAGAGTTTGGAACAACCAATAAATAAAGAAATTACTTTTAATTACTATTAAAGGTTTTTAAAGATTGTTTTTGTCTGACCCACAACACATCTCTATAAGAATGCAAAATTTGCAACTATTTCTCTGAAAAAAATAAATAAATCCAAAACAACGACCAAAAAAAAAAAACAAAAAAACAAAAAAACACCACAACCCAAGTCTCAAAGTAACTACATGGTGCAAGCTGATGCAAATAGAGACCTACAAATATTTGGTTATCCTGCACAAAATCTTCCAAAGTTTCTGGGAAATGCTTTGAGTTATTTGCAGTGCATTCTTTTAATCTTTGTTCCTAATGCCTCAAGCACCACTTGTAGGACAGCGCATCAGAAAAGGAGGCTCTCACACTGGAACAGCAATAGTCAGATTAAGAAAACCGTCTTTCTAAGTAGCTCACAGAGACACTACTTCAGGAGAATGTTTGCTTACATTATAAAACAGATTTTGATACCTATGATACTATAAAACTATAGTATAGCAAATAAACTGGTTTTTGAATCAGAAGTTTTGCATGTGGAAGAACAGCATGACAGGAAGCAGCCTGGCAAACAGTCTCCAGTTACATAGTATTTCTCCAACTTTATAGTAGGAGACTATGATATCCTCTAACACTGGAGCTGCACCATTCATTTGCATAGAAGGGAATTAAACTGAATCATAGGGGTCGGAAGGGACTGCTGGCGATCATCTAGACCAACTCCGCTGCAGGTTCTCTACAGTAGGTTGTAAAGCAAAGTGTCTGTGTGGGTTTCCACCACATCCAGAGGAGACTTCACAGTCTCTCTAAGCAGTTCCAGTGCTCTGTTACCCTCAAAATGAAGCAGCTCTTTTTCACATCCAGGTGTAACTTCCCATGTTCCAGTTTGTCCCCATCACCCTTGCCCTGCTGCTGGGCACCACTGAAAACTCTGGCCTCTTCCACTTGACACCTGCACCTTAAATATTTATAAGCACTGTAAGATCCCATATTCTCCTTTCCAGGATAAACAGTCCTCAGCCTCTCAGACTTTCCTCACAAGGTCTGGGCCCCTGACAAATCTATGTAGCCCTTCACTGGACTCCCTCTAGAAGTTCCCTGTCTTTCTTGAACTGGTGACTCCACAGCTGGGCAAAGTACTCCATAAAAGGGTAGCAAAGAGGATAATCTCCCTCAGCCTGGTGGCTATGGTCTTTTTAACGGTCCTTAGGATAACCCTAGCCTTCTTGGCCAAAACAGCACACTACTGGCTCATGTTCAACCTGCTGCACACCACGATACTCAGGTCCTTCTCGACTGAGCTCCTTTTCAGCAAGTCAGCCTCCAACCTGCACTGCTGAGTGCAGTTATTCCTTGCCAGGTGTAGAACTCTATTCTTGCTCTTGCTGAGCCTCACAAGGTTCCATTCCACCCAGCTCTCCACCCTGTCTAGCTTTCACTCAATGGCAGCTCTGCCTTCTGGTGTGTCAGACACTCCTCCCAGCTTTATATCATTAGAAAACTTGGTGACGGTGTGTTCTATCCCTTCATCCAGGTCATTAATGAAGAAGTTAGTTAAACAAGTACCAACTGCTGGGGAACACCACTAGCTACAGACCTTCACCTAGACTTTGAGCCACTGATCACACAGACAGCCAGCTCTCAGACCACCTCACTGATCAATCACCTATCCCACACTTCCTAAGTTTACCTATGAAGATGTTATCAGAGACTGTATCAAAAACATTAGCAGAAGTCAAGATATATAACATTCACTGCTCTCTTCTCATCTACCCAGCCAGCCATCACAGAAGTCTATTAAATAAGTCAAACATTATTTCCCCTTGATGAACCCATGCTGATTTGTTTATAACCTTCTCTTCTTTCACTTAGTTGGAGATGATATCCACAATAAATAGCTCAACCACCTTCCCAAGGACAGAGGTGAACCTGTCTGGCCTGTCACTTCTTGGGACCTCGTTCTTGTCAGTGAAACTGGCTTATCCCCAGACTTTAGGCACCTTTTCTATTCTCAGTGACCTTGCCCAGATGACAGACAGTTGTTCAGCAATAACTTCAGTCAACTCCCTAAGTACCTCTGAGTGCATTCCTCTGAGGTACATGGATTTTTCTTCTGTGTATAGAGTTTGCCTAGGTGATCTCTGACCAAATCCTCCCCGATTAAGGGAAGGTCTTCATTTTTCAGATTCTCTCTCTTACCTGCAAGGTTTCAAACTCCCGAGGGCCACTCTTATCACTGAAGATTAAAACAAAGAAGGTGTTCAGTAACTCCACCTTCTCAGTGTCTCCTGTTACCAGGGCACCCACCTCATTTACTAACGGGTCCACATTTTCCCTACTCTTCCTTTTGTTATTGATCTACTTAGATAAGCCCTTCTTATTGTTAACCTCCTTTGTCAGATTTAATTTCTCACTGCATCCCTGTGAGATCCCTGAAAACATTTCTATACTCTTCCCAAGCAGCCAGACTCTTTTTCTCACATTTCATAAAATTTGATTTCCTATTTGAGCTTTTTCCATTAGCTCCTTACCCATCTTCAGAGGTCTCCTGCCACCTTTGCCTGATTTCCTTTTCTTATTCTTACGAATGCACCAATCTGGAGCGTGGAGGAAGTGGTGCTTGAACGCTAACCTACTCTCCTAGACTCCCTTAGCTTTCAGTGCTCTAACCAAGTGGATACCTCCAAGCAGCTCATCGAAGAGGTCAAAGTTGGTACTCCTGAAGTCAAGGATTGCAATCACACTTATTGTTCTGTTTCTTCCATGCAAGATCCTGAACTCTATTACTTCATGGTTGCTGCAGCCAAGTCTACCCCTAATCTTCCCACTTCACCAGGACTTTTAACTGTCAAATTTCCTTTTTATTGATTGCTGCTGCTGAAAAACACCTTTGCCCTTGAAGACTGTCATTTCAGCCTGTAGCTGAAGATAGTTCTAATTAGAAAAATCAAAAGCACCAATGAGTACAGCATTTTTCACTTCAGAAGTTTTAAATATATCTTTTTTATGTTTTGGTTTAGCTGAATTAGCAAGTTTTAACTTCTGGGTCAAAAAAATTTACAACTGGTATTATAAATAAGTCTCTCAGACAGAACCTATGGCAGTATTTGTTAGACTTAATATACACTTCGGCTGGTATGTTTCCCTGTCTTTCGCCCAGCTTTTCCTGACAGTTCTCCTCCATCCCATCCCAGGGCATTAAATAAAGCAGGTCAGACATGAGTGTTCCTCCTCTTTTTAAATATACTCTTAAAGTATGTTGTTTCTGAGACAGCATAGCAAAAATTACATAACTCACATCTCCGATAATTAACCTTGCCACCGAGGGAAAATGCGTGGCATGAAGTTTATTCACTGGAAAACTAAGAGTGTTGCTGTACATCTACTACAGAAGACAGCAGGCATGTCATACACAAAGTGCATTACCACCTAGGGCTGAGCGGTCCTACAGCATCACTGCTGCTGCCACTTCCAGAGAGGCAAAGCTCCCCGGCACCTATGTGACCACGCTGCCTGTCACCTTGCTCTCCACTGAATTCCTGTTAGTGCCTACCGATAATTCGTGCTTCCCGAGGCTACTTACCACCTTCCGAAAAACCGCCAAAGGAAGCATTACCTGGATCTCCCGTGCATGGTACACGATGATGAGTCCGAGCAAGATGATCGTGGAGAGGCTGATAAGGCATTTCAGAGCGAGGGAATACAGCGATTCCTGCAACACAAAAATACCACCGTCCCTCAGCGAGCCCCGCGCGAGGCCGCTGCCAACCCGCAGTGCCCCGATGGCCGGGCCGGTCTCGCCTCGCCTCGGGGCGGCAGCGGACCGGGGGGCCGGGCCGGGCTGCGGAGCGGCGTGCCCGAGGAGAGAGAGCGACCCGGAGCCGGGCCGCGTACCTTGGTGTAGGCGCCCCAGGACAGCTCGGTCTCGATGACCATGACCACGATGCCGAACATGCCGAAGATCAGCGCGTAGTCGCTGAGGCGCTTGCGCTTCTCGAACAGAGCCCGGCGGTGCCCAAGCTTGTAGCCGATGTTCTGATTCTTCTTCTTGGCGGGTTTGCTCCCGCCGTTGTTGGGGCCGCCCGGGCCGGGGCCGGGGCCGGCGGGGCCGTAGATCGCCAGGTTGTTGGAGTTGTTGTGCTCGGGCTTGGAGACCACGACCTCCGGGCCGGCGGCGTTGGGGCTGGAGAGCGGCGGCTGCAGCAGCTGGGACTCAGCGTCCATCTCGTGCAGGTTCCTGCGGGACGAGCTCAGGTTGCTGAGTGGCCGCATGACGCCGCCGTTGTACCGGCAGCTGCTCATAGCTATTTCGGTGAAGGGATTGCTCTCCCGGCGCTGCTGGGGCTGCTGCTGCTGTTGCTGGTGGTGGTGGGCGCTGCCGCTGCTGCCGCTGCTGCCGGGGCTCGCCGCCTGCTGCAGGCTGTGGCACTGGTGGTGTGGACCGTGCTGGGAAGGCTGCCTCGCTGCGCCAGCATGACTGGAGGGCAGCTCGCTGACATTCAGCTGGCTGCCCTGCCGGGAGGAGGCGACAGACGAGAGCGGCGAGGAGCGGGTGCGGAAGGTGCCCGACAGCGGCGAGGAGGCGCGGAGCAGCAGCGGCAGGTTATCCCCGGCGGTCGCCGCCGCAGCTCCGTAGTAGGCGCAGTTGTTGCACTGGAGGCACGGGCTCTGCTGCTGCTGCTGCTGAAGGAGGAGGCTCGCCTTGTCCAGCTTCTGCCGGCAGTGCAGCGGCGCCGGCGGGCGCTGCTGCTGCTGCTGCTGCTGCTCCGGGCCGAAACCCGGCGCGAAGTGCCGCGGCGCTTCCATGCCCGGGTCGTTAAAGCCGCAGGAGTACCGGACGGTGCTGCACCTTGCGCAATGCGTTATGGTCGGTAAGGGAGAGTCCCGCTGCCGCCACGACGGGCCCATCCCGGCTCCCGTAGAATCCAGCCGCCGCGTCCGATTGGCTGGGCGGACCAAAACAACAGGCATGGCGTCACCTGCGGGGGGGGGACCGGCCGTGGCGTGAGGCGGCGGAGGCGGCGCTGGGACCGCTCGGCCCCGCCCCTGCCGGGATCCCGCCGCCCGTAGGTGAGGGCTGCCCCCGCCCCCCTACCCCTGCCGGGGAGCCCCGCGCCCAGGAAGCCCGGGAGCTCCCGGCTCGGAAGGGGCCCGCGCGGGGAGCGCCGCCGCGGTACCGGCGCTCCCTCCGCCCGGCGGCGCTCACGTCTGCGCCGTGTGCGGAACGCGGGCGCAGCGCCGCTCCCCGGAGCTGTCCAGCAAAGCAGGGCGCCCCCCTCCCGTGCCCCCCACTCCCCCCCTCCCACCCCGCGTGCTGCGGCTGCCGGGCCGCGGGAATTGGGCCGTGCGCGGCGCTTTTCCGACCTGTGGCAGCCGGGGCCGAATTTACTAACGCTGTCCAGCTGTGTAATTGCTGGACATCGTACCGCGTTCAGTTTCCTTTCAGACTTCAGCTTTGTTTTGGCATATCGTGGTTCTAAAACCGCGATAGGCGAGAGTGAACAAAAACTTTTAAATCCCTGGTACAGCGAAGATTATTTTGAAAGAAGCACCCGTAATAGAAGTGCCTGGTATACGATGTCGTATACCACATTTCTTCAACAATGAAGTCTTAAGGAAAATCCACCAACATTCTTGCATGAATGATGAGGGACTTTCCTGCTATCTCACTCTGTGCTTTATATCAAACTCTATTGGATGCTCTCTTTGGAAGTCAGAGGAAGAAAAAAAAAAAAAGCAGATTCAGTTATATCTCAGTGATCCTATTTTGTCTGTTTCCAAAGATACACAAATCACACAGAATCTGAAGCATGAAAGTCTTGGGGAACCTATGCTCATGTCACCGTGTAAGTGACTTGCTGTCAGAATGTTCTGTAGACTAGCTAAAAATTTTAATGAGGATTGGTTTCATCTTTCCTGCTCCGTTCATGTCATGCCTTCAACATTTTCTTAATGGTATTCAATTTTACATATTTCTATCAACAGAAGATAAAATACTCAGAACCCAGTTTACCACAACAGAGTTCTTAGAAAATTTGTAAATCTGCATGTTGTATTTAGAAGTCAGCAAATCAATGTCATGTAATTTCACCTACTCTGATCATGCGCAATTTTGTTAGAATTGTAAAGGAAAGAATTATCTTTTAAAAGTCTCAGTGGACTAAAATACATGGTGGCTATGTTCTCTACAAGGAAACGTTTGCACTTATTTATCTGATTCACATACATCAGTTACAAATCCCAGTTTTAACATCCTGCCGATATCCTGTTTATTAGTAGAATTGGCAAGGACACTGCTATTACTTGCTTGTAGATATTTCATCTGCTGGCTTGATAGATTCATTATGTGACCAAACAAATGAGTATTCCCATGTTTAACACAAGAGGTCATACTAATCACACAGCATGTTATGGAACTGCTGCTGGTTTTGTTTCAGTTCTGTTGTACAGCCTGGATGGGACACTGCAGTTTCAAGGTCTATGGAGGGAATTGGTGAGAGTACTTCTTCATAGGTAGGGGGGTAAGCCTTCCTCTGTATGACACAGGTAAATACACAGATGCTATTTAATCAAATATCTTCCCTTCTGAAGTAATTTTAAAGTTCACTTTGAAAAAATGAATGTATTTAATTTCAGAAATAGAATACATACTTCACATGAATTTAGTTGCTGTGTTCCTCTGTGTCAGAAATAAATTTGCATGAACAGCTCTGAACTGCTAAAGCATACTAAAATAATAACCCTAAACCCCTGTGATAAAGCATGAGCTGTTTGATGTTGGAGGTTCTGTTGTCATTTTTCACCTTTTTGTTATTACTGGATGAAACTGCTCTTACTGATTACCATCCTGCTGCATTGCCAAATGGGCAGTTTTTACACATGTATATGCATGTGTCAATGAGTGCACATGCATCTTTGCATGAAATAAGACAGCTGCTGCAGGTCTCATTTTACAATGATGATTTTTGCAGATGTTTGGAAAATAGATTTATTTTTTCTAAGCTCACTAATTGCAAGATGAAGATTAATGCTGTTGAGCAAAACAGTGGGACAGGAAGATCAACAGATGCAGGAAGAATTGTATTTTTGAGAAGAAAAAATACTGTGAAATATTTGAGGTGGCAGCTGTTCATTCTAGCAAGTTGTCTGAAAAGCTCACACAGCAACCAATGAAGACAGAACACCTGCAGGCTACAACAAAATATACTAGAAAGCTGTTTTGGCTGCTATCCTGTTGCTTGTACACCTGCCAGGCCCCTGTTAAAATTATTAAAAATTCTGTACTTGTAGAAAAAGTCAAAGAATGTAAAAATACTATAAAGGGAAAAAAAGAATAAGAAAAAAAAACTAGGAAATTCTATTCTTCAGTATCTTGAAATCAGAAGGTCTAGGGTTTTCTAGAATGCAAATCACTAAAGCAAACAGCCTCATTCAGATGGCAAAAAACAAGCTGGTATATGGCTGAGCACATACACATAAGGGTGCCCTTAGTGAAAGCAGAGTCACAGTAAGAGAAACGGAGCTAGCACAAACAGGAATATGATATCACAAGATCCTTCAGACTGCAGCAAAAAAAAGTGCTTTGTGAGACAACAGCAAAACAGTTGCACAGTGCTGCTGCCAAGATGGTGAGATGGAAACTACGTGTATGTGCCATGTGTGCAAGTTACCTTTTGCATAACATCTGGCAGGGCTTCAAGTACCAGATGGCTCTACATACACCTGCCACTTCTATCATGTACCTGTGAGCATCTCACCCTTACTGGACCTGTTCTGATTTCAAAGACCATTTGAAAGCATTCCATGGCAGCAGGAGAAGAGATATGACAATATGATGCAGATTGTATGGTCACATGCTATAAAGAAGAATGCTTTACAGTTTCTACTTTTGTTTTTATGCTAGTCCACTTATCTGTGTATTCTTCTTCTCCTTCGGTGTATTAGCAACAAAAATGCAGATTCACTGTAGTTCAAAACCTTCACCTTTAGAAAAGGTGTTTATTATACTCCAAAGATGAGGCCACTGGATTGGAAATTTTCAAGAGGGGATGCGTTAATTCTTGGGGTTGCAGTTGTAGAGATATCTATAATTGCTGCTCGTCTTCCCCCCTAAAAGATTAGATTTGTTTTTTCTTCCAGCAAAATTTTTGTTACTGTTAAACAGGTTGAAAATGTGAAATGGGGTTCACAAAAGTATTTTTTCCTAAGTTACTTCTCCAAGCTTTCTGGGTGTTTTGAAACTATTTGGATATCGTGCAAGCTGAATGACTCCCTCTCATGTTCCTACCCTTTTTTTTTTTTTTCCTTCCTCATTATCAGGAAATACTACCATCTAAAAGGCATTTCTCATCTAGTTAAAGGCATCAGTGCTAATACTGTCTTGTACAGCCATCACAGGTGCTGAGCTGGTGACTATATGTACAATCAGTAAGTGTACAGGGGTGTAAAATCAATCGGCGTACAGAGTTTTAGGCTAAGTAGGATTATCACAACAAGACAATAAATAGAAAATGCTTACCAATGTTGTAGGCTCACAACATCCTCCCCAAGGAGTGATCTCTAGAAGAGATCCCTTCCTCAGGGACAGTCAGCACTTAAATGGGATCTAGAAGAGGTGGAGCCAGGATCCACCCCTTCCGGTAGCACAGGTGAAATACCTTCACCTGTGCTCCCTTGGCTGACTTATTGCTTGCCTCAGCTGGTCAGTCAGAGGTTTGGGCTGTGATTCAGCCTGATTCCTATGCATTGCTGCGTTATGTTTTATCTGACTGCAGTTTTGTAACAGACCTTTGGCTCAGCACAATTACTGAGATTCTGACATGCACTATTTCTACTATAACCTGTGCAAAAACAGAGACTTCAAGTGTGCAGCACTTATCAACTGTGAGAGTTTTAATTTTACAGATTCCAGTACTAGAAAAATTGTTGTCTTTTAAGGCCAGTGAGAGTGTTTTCATCCAATTATAAGATTGTGCCTTGCAGAGTCGGCAGTGTACAAACCAGTATTAGCTTTTCATCTAAATGTCATTTCTATTCAGGTAGCAATTGATATCCTAAATAAATTTCATTTACCCCTATTTGAATAATAAATATTTTTCCATTGGTATTTATCATCAGCGACTCCATTTAACATCAAAATATTGCAGTGGTTATATTTCAAAGTTATTATATTGGAAAGTTATATTTGGAAAGTTCCCTCTAGTATAATTAATAATATGATTACTTACTATGTTTTTTTAATATTACTTTACTATGAAATGCGAAAGACTTTGCTTTTAGGAGGTGCCTGCCATGTATGATTGCTTTCAAATCTTAAATGCAGTGTAGGTTCCTATAGTCAGTACTCCTCCAAAACCAGAATATGAAGTGTAAGATTGCTTCTTGGATTGTGTTTACTGGGGTTTTTGATTGGTCCTGCAGTTCTGATTCCCTGAAAGATTCTACAAATTCAGCAGTGCATTCAGATCCCACATCACAAAATTCTCTTTGCTTATTGTCACCATCATACCTAAAACCTTTCAGCTATGTTCATAACGCTCAGATATCCATTTATGTAGTGCTTCTGTTTGTAGCAATCGTCTCTCAAAGAAATGTGCAAAATTTCTTAGAATAAACAGAAGCAAGGGAAAGGGGGTAGTTATAAAAGCTGGCTGTTGTTTCATAAGCTTGGCAACCAAGCAGGTATTTGAAGTGATAGAAAGTTTTATGAAATTTAATGAAACGTATGAAATGTTAGGAAACTTTCCTAAATTTTTATGAAATTTTTGTTCTTGGACATGTAATTCTCTTCACTTCTCTCCTTTATCCACTCCATTTCCATATTACTTAGCCAAAAATTAAATGTGTTCCTGAGGAAAAGGCTAGACACTTTTAATGTTCAGAGGATATTTTTAAGGATGTAAATTTTTGAATTTCAGTTGGGTAAAATCCATCTCTGCAACTCGGTGGAGCTCTTAACAAGCGTGTCCCAA